ATTTTTGTTTTTAAATTGCTCATGACTGAACTTTTAGGGGGTGGAGATTTTATTTTTAAGTGTAGAAGCAGAAATGCTTATTTGAAGGGGCAGCTCGTATGTGATATTAACAAGCTCATAAGTGGCTGTTGTGTTTAAAATGAGTGTTTATGCAATTATTTTCAGTTGACATATCCAGTATAGGCTTTATTCGTTCAAGGCAGTCGTATTTGTTCATAACTTTATTATTAGTAAGCCTGAGAGTTACCGGATCCAAGCAAACAATTACCGCAATGCAACCTGTTGAAATAGGAGAGCTCAGGATCCGGCTCAAATTAAGCCTCGTTTGTGGTTAAAAATGAGTGTAAAATAATAAATATGAAATAAACAAAAGTATTAATATCTCTTCACTCAGTGGCAGCCGAGCTGAATGTATCTGATCGACCTCTAACTTTCTTTTGTCCTGCTTTGGTTGGTGCATGCAGATAACATGTTTAGCTAAACTTTTGTTACTTTTAACTTTTGGCCAACTTTTTTTTTATTTTTTACAATTTTTAGCTTCTACCTAGACTTCTAATAGTTAACATTTCCTGACTATCCACAGCTGACTTTTATCATTCATCTAGCCTTTTGCTACTTTTAATTTTACCTGTGTCTTTGCTATATTTACCAATAGCTTGTTTTTACTTTAATTTTTATTATGGGGGAGTGGTGGCACAGAGGTTAGAGAAGATGGGTAAGTGATCAGAAAGTCACAGGTTCAACTCCTGGTACTGTCAACATCGAAATGGGGATGAAAAAGATGAAGATGAAAAGTGAATTTTATTTATATTTTTTATTTATCCTATTTTATCTTTACCCGCTTATTCCATTTTGGGTCACGGGGGTCGCTGGTGCCCATGTCCAGCAATCACTGTGCGAGGGGCGGGGTACACCCTGGACGGGTCGCAAGTCCATCACAGGGCCACATAGAGACAAACGAGACAAACAATCATTCACTCTCTCACTCACACCTAGGGACAATTTAGAGTTACCAATCAGCCTAACATGCATGTTTTTGGTCTGTGGGAGGAAACCGGAAAGATCAAAAGATGAAACACCCACACCTGCCTCCACCCTCATTTGCCCCACCCTGGGCTCTTGAGCAAGGCCCTTAACCCCCACCATTTGCTCCCCAAAACAGGTCTCTCCTGAAAATGAGTTCTTGTGACTCAGTGAGACTACCTGCACAACTAAAGGGTAAATGGAAAAAACAAACAAACATTTTTTTTTTGTTTGTTTAGGCCTTAAGCAGCATTTTGCTACTTTTTTTATTAGCTAATATTTTGCGTCTTTTCGCTTTTAGGTAAGTAAAAACTGTGTGATTTGTTCAAACCACAAAAGTAGAGTCACATGTTAATAGTACATCTTGTTATTGAATAGTTTATTGAAACCGGGTTTAAAGAAATATTTCAGTTAAATCTTATTAAAAAGTGCTTTTCTCCCCCAGGCTAAAGTTATAAAAAATATTCACTTAGATACATGTGAGCTTTTACAGAACTACTAATTATAGAGCATCTAACTGTGCAATGGGTATTTAAGCATAATTGCTGCAAGCTTCATTGTTATTTCAGCCATTGCCAATCACAGCCATTTACAGAGAGCCAAGATTTCAATTAGTCTGCTTCTAATCATCAGTAATTAAGCCAGCTGACCTTTACACCAGATCCCTCCTGTCAGTGTCTTTACCAAACCACAGGGGACTTTAGGACACATGACTGACACAACTGTGTGTGTCAACCTGTGTGTGTGTGTGCGCGCGTGTGTGTACTTTGTAAATGACATTTAGACTGACAGTCTATCAGGGACTATTAGCTGCTCCCAGGTGGCCTTTTATTCATCCACAGCACAATGACTCCTCAGAGGAACAGAAAGAGGCTAATCACTACATAAAGACCGACTGTCTTAGACCGAGAACACGCCTGCGTGTGCGTGTTTGAGTTAGTGCTCGTCTGGTTATGCTTTTGATAACGAAAGAGGCAAACAAGTTAAAACGTGTGGCAAGAGAGGCAGGGAAATCAAAAATAGATGCAAAGACACATGGATGGACAGGAGCACACACAGATGAAAACACACACGTTGGGTATGCCTCCGTGCACTCATGTTTTACAGAGAGACAGGCAAAAACAAGCACACCCACACACTGACAAAGACAACCACACGAGACAGGAAAAACTAGATGGATGGAGCGGAAAAGAACAGAAGATGCAAAGAGTGGTCTGATGTGAATAATTTAGGGGCTGCTGTGCAGTGGACCCAAGAGCATGTGGAGAGATGGAGAAACGAGGGAATAAGCATAAAAAAGAGAAGAAGAGATAAAATAAGAGTACGAGGTAATGGACTTGTAAAAAAAAACACACAAGAAAAGTGAAGGTATGTCCCTCAGAAAGACACGAACGGAAACAAATGAAAGTGGTAAAACAAGCGTCTCCATGCCTTTTCCTCAGGAGTGTTTCCTGCAGAGACAGGTGATGTGATTATCCACGGCTGAGCAACTTCACTCTCTAAGACGCTCTTGAGTTTTCAACTACCGGTACTTAATGTTCTCCTAATGGACTGCACCAACACAAACATCAGTTTCTGCATTAATGGACTCAAGCTAATGTCATACTGATGTCAAGATGATCATGTTATTATGGGGGAAAATGCTATAATAATCCATATATGTATTTATTGACCATCACCAGTTGATTTATAAATACAGTCATATTTTATGACAAATGAATTCAATCAGGGTTTTGTTTACCAGTCAACATGCAATTAAAAATAGAACCTCGTTGAATATTCATAATTTATTAAACTAATTCAATCCAAAAGATCAGAATTAAGAGCAGCCATCATTAATAAAATATGAGCGTCACGTCACTCAGGGTTCGTACACATTTTCTGTTTTGAAATTTCATACATATTTTTTAACTTTAAAACCAGTTTTCACTGAAACAGTTGTAAATTTATAGTAAATGTTTGTTCATTGTTGACATTTTGTTAAAAATCTCTTGTGTGTAAACACCTTAAAAAAAACAATGGATAGAAAAGAACAAAACTGTTAAAATAAACTTTTCCAATTTAATTACACTTTTTCTGTACACTGTTTTCATCTTAAAACTTTTGCATATATTGTGCTAATGGCAAAAATTCAGCTCTTTCAAGAGACGGGTGACATGACCTTTGGTTTGCGTGAATTTTATTGTTTACAAAATATATGACTTTATTTGAAAATATCCTCATAGAAATACATTAAAATCTCTTTAATTCATCCAAAAACATTGTTGTCACTGAAATCTGGTTTAGCATATTTACTCTAATTTAGCCTTTTTATGCTACTTAAACTTTTTAACTGTGCTATTTATAATTTTACAGAAGTTTTTGCTGCTTTTGGTTAAAGTTTGCATTTTGCTACTTTTAGCTATTAGCCAGGTTTTAGCAATTTGTAGCTTCTAGCTAGACTTTTAATACATTTGCCTAAGCTTTTGCTACTTTTACCTTATAGCTACCCTTTTTTACTTTTAGTTTTAGCTGTCCTTTTGCTATTTTTGCTTTCTAGTTAGTTTATTTATCTGTGTTTAAGTAGTGTTTTGTTACTTTTGATATTTAGCTGGCTTTTTGCATACTTAATTCTTAAGTAGCATTTGCTACTTTTAGCCAGCTTTTTTGGCAATTTTCAGCTTTTACCCAGCTTTTTTTTTTTACATTTAACTAACTTTTTGCTACTTTAGTTTTTTGTTAGCCATTTCCTACTTTTTAGTTTTAGGGATGCCTTTGCTACTTTTAGCTTAGAGCTAGCTATTTTTTTTTTTTTGCCATGTTTAGCCTTTAGCTTGTGTTTAGCTACTTTTGGCTTGTACTTTGCTACTTTTTGTTTTAGCTAACATTTTGCATTGTTTAGCTTTTAGGTAACATTTTTTTTTTCATTTTAGCTTTAACATTTTAGTTTCTGCTTGTTAATTAAATTAATTTGTAGAGTGGTTAAGCAGTCATCATTCACAATAGATTTTTAAAGAGAACATACGCTCGTTAGTGTTAATTAAATGTACTGATGAGTTTTGATGTTGCGAATGAATCAAAAAACATCAAGGGTCAACATCTAGGTTCTTCTTTTTTATTTTTCATGTCAGAAAATGCACTAAATAATAGCATCTGGAAAGACAAATTGTTTTTCAAACTTTATATTTTTCCAACTTAACCATGAAGACATTTATCTCAAATGCCACATAAAAAAATAAATGTACTTTTTAGGATTGCACAGGATGCCTGGTCACTGTCAAACAACACATTCAGGTAAAGCTGAGGCTGGATCTCTATTGTCTGAAAAGTCCTGGACTTCAAGAAAAAAGAGCAATACAATTCAGCTGTGCATTAAAACTTTAGACATAATTGTTGTACTTGAATTGTCTCTCCTCAGCACCATACACTGTCCAAGGCTGATGAACAGAGTACACACACCACTGATAATTACTATCATCAAGCAATTATTCTTCTGTGTCACAGCTATTTGGAGGTTTTTCTTTTATCACAGGCAAGAAAAGGCAAATGAGGTTGCTGTTGCTTGTAGCAAACACTGAGGTTCAGGAAAAAAAGAGTCAGTTCTTAGTCCCTGATAGTCCGGCTCAGTGGTTCAGTGGTTTTTGTAACTGCCCTTTATGAAAACTATTTATGTATTTCCAAGGCACACATTTAGATGTATGTCTATGAAAGATCAATATAATTTATCTTAAACTGAGAGACTCTTATGTTGCACATAAAAATAATAAAAATATTAATGAATACTTTGATTTTAAGATTTATCACGACAGGAATGGTAATTTTATGAACTGAACAGGAAAAGGAGGAGACGTAAATGTGATGAAGAGTCTAAGAGACAGATGGGACACAATAAGACCTGGACATGTGAGAAAACAGGGGTAGTCTGGTAACATGAACGATATACAGTCAATGAAGAGATGATCGGTGGATTGTGTGAGTGTAAGTGGCGTCACACTGACCTCGTAAGACACCGAGCCGGGTGGTGGCAGTGATCTCTCCTGCCGAGTTCGAGGCGTGACATTCATAAATGGCTTCGTCTCTGGGAGTCCTCAGAGGCTGAATCCTCAGGACAGAACCGGACCCATCATCAAACTCGATAACCTATAAACACAGATAAACCTATAAACTTATATAGAAACTGCATCACTGTTCTAAAAATATGTAATAAGTTGTAAACACAGGCCATTGGTGTTTGCGTGATTCTAATTTGAAACATTTTCAACGTACAGCTAACAAGTTGGACTCACATAAATCCTGCTGTTTCTAGTTCTCATCTTTAATGTAGTTTGCAGTTATATTCATTCAACCTTTATTTATACGAGAAAACATTTTCTGAGAAAACTTCTGAAGTCCTTTTAGCAGTTCTCGGTAGTGCATTAAAACGGGTATGGAGTAGCATGAGTCAAGCACTCCTCCTAAGAAACTTTTCAAAGTAAATATGCAAGGCTATTACTTGTACAGTTACTATTTTCTTCTCGTCTTATTATTAATGTTAGATTTGATAAAAATAATAGGAGGTGCATTCCAAACTGCTTTCACACAGGTTTATTACGCACATTTAATTGATCTGGATTCTAAAATCTGGTAAAGTTTCCAACCTACATCCATTAACCATGAATCCCACAACTAGTCCTGCCCAACAGGGCCACGGTGAAGAACACACAGTAGCCTGAGCTCATATATTTTTGGATTAAAGATAAACTACTTCCTTCAAGTGGTTCAATCACAAACAGGAAGCCAAAGAGATGAACTAAAACCTGCGAGGAAACTCAACTTATTAAAGTGGGTGAGCATCCTGGGCTCAAGGTGAAAGCCACTCAGCAGGACCGAGACTGATTCACCATCTCCTCCGTATGAGAGGGACTCGTGATGATGGGGAAATAAATCAAAGGTCAGAGCCTTCGGGGAATTAATAAAGCTGATCATAGAAACTGTAGCATCATCGGACCTATGAAAGAGTTCCAGCTGATAGCAGTTCACACACTTGTCTAAAAAGGTACACTATTGGTTTTAAATCGCTGCAGAAATATCAATTTAACTAAAGTCAAACATGGCTCTCAATGCTCAGTTAAATTATACTTGCTATTAAAAAAGGTACAACTAAAGGCTTAGTGCAAATATTAACCATTATTGATCTTGTTCATGTGTTGACACACTCAGTGAGCAGGGATTTATCAGGGTCATAGTTAATATTGACTTGGTGTTTGTTCTTTAATTTAATGTCTTTGGGTCAATCTGGACTTTAGTTAAACTCCTGCAAATAAGGTCTGTTCGATAACGTTTGTTACTTTCCTTTTTATGTTTTAAAATCTGTTTCCTTCTGAATATTTTTTTTCCTGCTTTTTTGCCGCGCCTGGTCCAGACTGGTAAATGTTACACCTGAATACATTTACAGTAGTATCTCACTGGGCTGCGACTGTTGGCAACTCGTTGCCCAACGGCTTTGGAGAGAGAGTCTCCAAGATGTCTCATGATATTCCCAGGTGTTCTCAATTTTCTTGAAGAATCTTCCAGTCACGACAAACGAAGTAAAAACAGAACTTCAAGTAAAATTCAAAGCAACAGCTCAGATAGGATCAGTTATGCTTGACATAAAGTATTCTGTAAAAACCTCTTAACGTTGGACACTAACCCAAAGTCACTATTTTTTCCCCCCTTCGACAGGGAAGTGAGGAGTAGAGCAGAAAACAAAAAAGTGTTTTCTGGACACGTGCCATACCTCAAATCTTTGGTTGCTGACTTTTTTGCCTTTTTTATTCCATACGATCTTGGGCTGTGGATCCCCCGTGGCCTGGCACACGAAGGAGGCCACTCCTCCCTGCACTCCAGTTTGGTCCTCCGGGGTCCGGGTGAATCTGGGTGGTGCTGCGGGGAAAGGAACATTCAGAGGTAAAGGACCACATTAATGCTCATTTAACATCGAATAAAAACCAAACTGACATACGACTTTACACATGCAATTTTCAGTAAGTTTGTTTTTGTACCTTTATTTTAACTACAGCTTGCATATTTTTTGTCATATGCCACTTTTCACTTTTAACTAGCCTTTTGTAATGTTTATCTCTTCTTAGCAACATTTTTGCTATTCTCTTGCTTTTAACTATGCTTTTCTTAACAAAGTCCATGCTCAATAATCCAGGTATATAATACAACATTTTTCAGTCAGGTCATCTGGACAGTTTCTGTTTTTTGTGCTGAAACGTTTCACCTTCCATCCAGAAGACTTCATCAGTAAAGGAAGCACACAAAACAAAACTGATTCTTCCTCCAACAGCTTACTCCAAAGTGGAACAAACCAGTTATGTTGGTGCTAAGATGGTCTCTTTGTCACGCCCCCTCCTCCATTGCCGGCCTTCTTCCTTGTTGACAGTCGTGTCAAACTGGTTGAAAACAACCAAGTCCATGCTCAATAATCCAGGTATACAATCCAACATTTTTCAGTCAGGTCATCTGGATAGTTTCTTGTTTTTTTTGTGCTGAAACGTTTCGCCTTCAATCTGGAAGGCTTCATCAGGGGGAAGAATCAGTTTTGTGTTGTGTGTTTCCTTGACTGATGAAGCCTTCTGGATCGAAGGTGAAACGTTTCAGCACAAAAAAAAAAAAAAAGAAACTATCCAGATGACCTGAATGAAAAAATGTTGGATATGCTTTTCATATTTTTAGGAAGACTTTTGCTACGTTTAGCTTTTAGCTGGCCTCTAGCAACTTTTAACTATTAGCTACAATTTTGCTATATATAGGTAGCCTTTTGAAACGTTCAGCTTTTAGCTAGCTTTTAGCTAGTAATTTACTGCATTTGGGCAGTTTTATTCATTCAACCTTTATTTATACATGTTAGTTTCATTGAGCCTCAAGGACTCATTTACAAGAGAGACCTGTTGTAGCCGGACTTTTGCGACTGTTGTTAGGCAGTGTGGTGTTTTTAGTGTTTTGTTCATTTATGCAAATATTTCAGATGATATGAAGTGTGTTTTTGTGGAAAAGTTCAGAAATGTTTAACTTTTACCTTTGTTGAGCACACTTTGAGCAATATCTTATGGAGAACTAAAGCTTAATTTTGATCAAACTAATGAGCTAAAGGCTAGTCTGACGAGAGCCAAGACCATTGTGGATTGTTGTCATCTTAAAACAAACTCCAATCTAAAAAAACTCTATATATTTTCACACAGAATGAACATTTTTTTTCTACTAAGACTCATTACATCATCAATTTTAGAGTACCTAGATATCGTGAAAGATTATAACATTCTTGGAGGAAGCGCTACAGTAAGCTGCTAATGCTATTTATGCTGGATAAAACAGACATCTTTGTAAATACCTGTGTAATACAAAACAGACAGTGATGTAATGGTTTATCACGATAAAATTTTAATGGCGGCATTGTAATTTGTAAGTGTAAAGCTCTTTTAAGGTGTCAATATTCCACTTTGGTCTTAACCTCTCTCATACGTTCTCATTAACTTAGCTGTTGAATCGTTAATCTGGTCCAATTTAAACTCTTTCTTTGGAATGAGGGCTAACAAAGATCTACAAAAGGTAAGATTTTACTATTACTGTTCATACCTTTTCCACATAACACCAGTTCAAATACCAGGACTATCCCTTTAAGACTAGAACATTCATATGTCACAGGTAAACCACACGTCGTACAGAAACACTTTTTGTTTCTTGTGCATGTCTTTGACACTTTAAACAAAAATGTGTCGGTCTTGACGAATAGTAATGTTTTTAGCCGGTGTGTCACACACCCTGGAGTATTTGTACACCTACAGCACATCTGAGTTTAGACATGCAGGTGGGTGGCATTGTGTCAGTGTGTGTCTTCTTTCCTGTACGTGTGTGCACACTCCATCATGCTTTCTCTCTGTCCTGTACCGTCCAAAGAGGCTTAATATTTCTGTGCCATAAAGGGTTTATAAAGACTTACTTCTGACATGACCACTAAAGCCCCTCGTTTTGAGGACGCCAACAATATCATAACCCCAGCCTCTGCTGGATTGTGACATCACAACATCAAAAAGATTCGACACGTCAGTCACGGCACGTCACCACCAGCTCGTCTAATGGCATTCCAGCCAAACCAGAAAATCCCTACTTAGGGGCTTACCGCCAGCCGCCCTGACAAAGGGAGAGAAATTGCTTTTTGCTGTTTTAAAAGGAGAGAGGGAGAAAAGGGAAGCTGTTCAGAGCAGCAGAGAAACAGAAAGAGTGTTGAAAGAGTGAGCAGAAAAGAGCAGAGAAGATGGAGAAGGATGAAGGAGGGGGTGAGACAGAGCAAGCGTGGAACAGATGTGGAGATGTGAGGCTGAACAGTAACGCAGATCAAAACGGTCACGTCTTAACGTGTATTTAGCTTCATGTGGGTTTTAAAAACATAAAACTGCGTCTTTATTTGTGCAACAAGGTGTGTTTGTGTGCATCTAGGTCAAGTTAGTGTTCATTCATTAAAAAAACCCATAAAAAATACCTAGCACTTATAAAAAAGAACTGCATTTCATGAGCATATATAGTGATCTTCTAGAGCTCAGGCATATGTGTTAGGTAGATTCTCAACTACTATCACACCAAAGTCATATTCAAATCCAACTAGCATCTGTGAAATTGAATATGTCATAACCATTTTTATTGGCTAAGGTTGATTGGTTATGGCAGCCATCTTGAAGCAGATTGAATCCAAATTTAAGAAGTTGTAAATGTAAATCTGATAAATATTTACTGAGAGTTTCATTAAAGTCTGTCCAGTGGTTTATGACATACCTAGTAACAAAAGCAGGTAGTTGCATGTTTACTTTTGATTAAAAAAAAAAAAAAAAGATTAATAAGCTTATTTTCAGGTAGGATACAAGACAACCTGTAATGAATGAATGAATGAATGAATGAATTAACGTGGAAACCAATTACTGTAGTTAAATGTTTAGTTCTCATTCATTTGTAAAGTTTTAGCTTAAATCAGTTATCAAACAAAAAATCCATAGCCAAGTTTCTAAAATGGAAAGTAAGAACTCACACATCTGTTTTCTGCACCATAAAAATATTTACCTAAATGTGTATAGATGATGTTTATATTTTCGTAAGTCGCCATGGTAACATTTTAATACTAGCTACTAAAGGCAAAGGTGGAGCCTTGGTTTTTAGGCCTTTATATGTGTGTCATCATGTGTTTATTTGTCTGTATCATTAACAAATACTTCAAAAAGCCAGAGATTGAAAAGTAACAAAACTTTCAGAAAGTAATCGTTCACAACTGATCTTTGGAATCGGCTCCAAATTAAGATGGCCACCACAGCTACTCAACAATAGTCAACACAAAAGTGCTCATAACTCAGTCAAGTTAACAAAGAAAACTTTCATTTAGCTGCTTCCTTTTTCAGGGGTCACCACAGCGAGCGAGCTCCCATCAAAGATATGGCAGGTGTTTTATGCCTTTCCTGACACAACCTGAGCTCAAACCCACAACCTACATATTACAAGACCCTGGCACTAACTACTGAGCTGCCTTAATCAAGTAAAAATTTGATGTGGTAGTAGCTGAGAGTCATGTTCAACACACTTTCTGAGAGTGACATCCCACAGTTTTACATGAGGTTGATCAAAACATTATGTCCAAGGTTTGACCAAAATAGCTCCAACTTTATATTTCATCCTAAAAGACCTTAGGCTAAAACTCTGGCATGGAAGGACGCAGGAATTCTGTCTTCTTTCGAGGATTGCTAGTGGTTGGGATGGGGTAGAGACGGGGCAGCCGATTTAGGACCTAAAAGTCCCAGGTTTGACCCCCAGCCATTCTCACATGTGGTGTCTGAGCAAGACACCTAATCCCTAACTGCTCCCCAGGTGCCTACATAGCAGCCCACTGCTCCACCTGGGTGTATCTCAGGTGTGATGGGTTAAATGCAGAGAACTCATTTTGCCGTTGTATGGGACCATACGATGACGACAACACATAACACTTTATTTTACTAAGCCTTCAGTTTTTTTCTTGTGTTTTTAACAGTTTTGTCTCACAATGCTTAACTGACTGTGCAGAAAAACCAACCCCAAACAAAACGCTGAAAGCTTTGATAAGTTCGATATGTCACCATGTACACAGCCTTCACATGCATGCCGTTACAGCGTGAGTGTGTGTGCTCGGGAAGACAGAAAGGCTGAGAGAGAAGAAAAAGGATGAGGAGAGGGGGAATCTCTCTCCTAATCCTTTTACTAATCTCTCCCCCCACAAAACAAATGAAAGTGTAAAGCCAGCAGAGCCATGCTAACAGCTTCACCAGATCTTTCAATTGCTTTTTTTTTTTTTTTATCTCCCCCATTTTCTTTATCTGTCCAGCTCCTTCATACATCCCCTGTTTGGTTCTCTGTGTCTTCCAGTGTGTCCCCTCCATCTCTGTAACTCTGCTAATTGTTTGCTGCTAAAGAACTTCTTCCTCCTGCTTTGCAGCTGCTCTCCTTGCTCCCTCTTTCCACCTCCTCCTTGTTCCCCCATCTCCTCCTTCCATCTCTGGGGTGTTACATAAGTCATCCTGTCACACCAGCTGACTTTATGGAGGGGGATGTGGGTGGAGAGAGTGGAGTTCAACCTCCACACTTCCCCTCTTCTCTTAACATCTTTCCTCAGCCCTTCTGCTTTCCCTCGTCTTCACGATGCCCCCCCCCCCCCCATTTTCATCTCTTCTCCCACTGTCTCCTCTGAACTAATCCTCTCGGTTCTTCTTCTGCTTTTCTCATTTATTCCCTCTAGATTTCTTTACAGTTTGCTGTGATGATCAGACATTTTTTGATTGTGTTGCTTTGGTAGGATTAAGAGCTGGCATTTGGGCCAAAGGACAGAAGGCTGATGATAAGAAAAAAAAAATACAACTATCAAATCT